GTGAAGATTAAAAGTATCTGCTCTGGATTAATAATCTTTTTATTAGTGTTTTTAAGAAAGTGATCTCAGAAGAACCACTTTAGTAAGAGTATCTAATAACCAAATGCTTAGGACAGAAAAAGGAAAAATAGTAATATTATGTCTAGCAGTAAAGCAGAACAATCCAAACATTCATCTCCTCAGATGGAAAGGCTTCTCATTTGGAAGAGATTATTTTATTTTATTTTTAAATTTTATTTTCTTTTTGTTTTATTTTATTTTATTGCTACATCTGATCCAGGATTAAATTTTAATCATCTATCATCTCCCCACTGATGAAATGTTGTGACATTTAGAACACTGGTTTTATTTATTTAATATGTTCCAATAGCATCTACCCTTACATGTCTAGGGTAAAGAAAACGGCTGAAATAATTTCAAGACAATTGGAGACCCATGAAACTATAAGGAAAGGCATTTGACAAATTATGAAACCAAATGTTGTAGTGTTTCTTTGCATGATGAAACAGACAGGGATTTCCTTTTTTTTTTTTTTTTTTTAATGTTTTGCCCTTTTATTGGCTGAGGGAAGCAAACAGACATTATAGACTAAGGGCAACTTTCACACTGAGGTATCAGATAACATTTAGTGATTTAAAGAGGTGTATTGAAAGGAGAATACCTTTACTAACTGTAAATGTTGGACTACAGAAAAAGTTTCTAAATATAAACACTGAAGGCTTTTCATTGCCAATCTGGACACACTGCAACTGTAGACTGCAAATATAACTATTACATTTACTTCTGTTCTCTAGAGAAAACTGTGACAAATTCTGCCCCGCTGCACTTTGCAGATCAACTCTACAGTAAAGTCTAATTAGAAGCATACTACATCAACTCCAGATATTATTTAAACATTTTTATACTGACACCTTAAAGACACTGAAACAGACAGCATGCCAGCTTAATGAAAGAATAATTTCTTTTTTATCATTTAATAATGTCCAAAGTAGACTGGTAAGGCAGACTGTTCTTCTTATGAAACACTAAAAGGGAAATTTTAAAACATTCCAGCAACATGTTGCCCTTTACTGACCTGAGCAGCTGGCTGAAGTTCAGGGTCTTGCTGACTGCTTTGGTCAGGAGAAGAAATCAGTGGGAGAGATGTTTGCTTTAGACACAACCCTCAGTGTGTGCTCTATCACCTCAAATTGTTTCTCTGAAGCACACAAACACTTGAACATGGATTCAGAGAGAGAGGGTAGGCAGCAGAACAGGACACCTTACAGAATAAATTACTGGTAAGCAGTCTTTCCACTTTCTTCATCTGTTTGTGCATCTATACATATCCTTGGGAGTAACTTCAGGCATTCCATTTTCCTTTACATGGGAGAAGTGATGGCCAAAATATGACATCATGGGAAGGAGAGTTTGGTTCTCTATTTCACATTTGGGGTCTTACTATCCTGCAGCCAGCAGGGCTGTTGGATGGGGAGAGAGCTGGTTTGCAGCTCTCTTTAACTCCTCTGGGTGATCGTGCTCCCTTTGAGAACAGCGACTGACCGGGTTGGCAAGAGGACCACACAGGGGCTGTCTCTCCCTGCATTGCCACTTGATAAATTCCTTCTGGCAGCCCAACCCCTGCTGAACTAAGGTGAGTGCTACTACAGTGGCCTGGTGCTTCAGGGGCATCTCATCACAGAGACAAGCTGAATTTCTGCATGGTTACAACTGTGGTCAAAAAACTGCTCATTGCCTTTGGGCCAGCTGCATTTGATGTTTTCCACAGGAGCACCAGAAAGACAGAAATAGCATTGATAAACAGAACATCTTTTCTGTTTATCAATTTCAAATCAACCAAAACAATTTCTTTTCCTAGAAGTTCTGAAATAAATTTAAAAAAATGAACAGTTGATCTTATTCAGAGATATTCAAGAGCTGAATAATTACTACTGTAAATCTTAAAAGAGACTAAGTTCAATCAGTACCACCAGATGCTTCTTTCCTCCATCAATGCAGACAACATGACCATGCACACTCTAAAATTTTCCAAAACAGGAAAAACTTTAGGGAAGTGTGCAGATATCTGTAACATTTGGTAAACAGTCATTTCTGCCAATAAAAATTTTCAAACCAGACAAAATTCAGGGAGTTAAATCCTGAAGCATGTTGTCTAGCAGGTGAACAAGCAGTATGTTCACAGAGCCTCAAAGATGGCTCCACAATAACTAGCTCCAATCAGAAATAGGGTTTTTATGTTGGCAGTCTTGCTGTGCTGTCCATCTAACTTTTTGGATTTGTGCCTGTTCAAAATCTTTGTGCTTCACACTAATTTACCTTTTCCCCTTCAGTTATGTTCTCCCAGCATACTTCTGTAGCTTAATTTAAGACATATGCTGAATAATTAATTCTTCTAACTGAACTAACCAAATCTTTGTCCCCTCCAGATGAGTCTTGAGTGCATCAAGAAAATGGTAATTCAGAACTGAAAGTTCCCTGATTTCTCAAAAATCTTCTGATATTAAGCAGCTGATCATGATGATGCTCAGTGAATAGCTGCTAACTTATGTACTTGGCTGATGTGGATTGCTTCCAGGCCTATCAAGCCCCCAGCAGAAGGCAGGATCCGACAATCAATACGTGAATATGGCTAAACCAGAACAAATGGGAAACTCAGTCAACAACGTAAATGTATTTTACTGGTGAAATCTGTGATTCCAGAGGCTGAAATCATATCATGGTAATATAGGATCTCATCCAAGCAACCTGACACATCAACTCCATTTTCTCCTCCAAAACTGTGTATCATTGTTCCTGTGATTACAGACCTTCTGACAAGATTAGGAACAAGTTTTCTCCTGTGATGAAGATTCAGAGCTTTGCAAGTCAAGATCCTTCACCAAAAGGTACAGTAAACAACAAGAGCAGACTGCCTCAGCATATAGGCATGTCCTTTTTGCCTGACTGATGGGATTGAAGATCTCGAATTTGCTGTGCTAGCCACTAAAATCAACAATGTCTTTACTGCATAGCAATAAAGCACAGAACAAGATAATCAGCTGTGTTTCAGAGTACAGCCATCACCCCCAGAGATGATTTGATTTGGTCCAACATGATTCACAGAGCAGAAAATCTAAGTGAGAAAAACTAGGGTGCTTCTGAGGAAAACTTAGAATTGGAAACACTGACAGAAGCATGCACATGAGCACCTCAAACGAGGCTGAATTACAGTAACTGTGAGCTACGGATGCATAACAGATATTGACTAGGGAGCTTCCATTCCTGTTGATGCCTTACTTTTCTTGCAGGATTATCAATCTGTGTTACTTTCTCGGTGAAAGCAGCAAAATCTTCCCTTCAATCCAAGCAGGGAAAAACTAATGCAGCTTCTTGGCACTGAATCATAAAAGCTCACAAATTGACATAAAAGCAGATGAGTCCCCAAGTCAAGGAGATGAATCCCTCACTCCTAGCTACCCAAGAAAATAATAACCCCTCCCTTTAATACAGTTGACTGGGCTGCTTTCAGGCTTTTATTTGACTTACTTTATCTGGCTCCAATTACAAAACTCATCTTGTTCTTCCTCCTCAAAGATAAAAGCTACAGTTTCCTGGTAACTTAATTATAAACAGTTTTGAGTCAGAAGAATGAACTCTAACGGAGAATGTATAAGGACATCTGAAGCTTTTAATAGATAAAATGTGAATACAGTGAATAAGATTAATTAGAGAAACCTAGAGGGAATTTTAGCATGCCTTTGGCATAAAAATATCCAGTTAAGCTGCAAATTCTGTGTGAAGACTTTTTTCCCCTTTGACAAAAGCACGCAGGTATGGCACAGCAATTAGTTCCAATACCAAGCTGAGTGGACAAATGGTACCTGACCAGGGATTTACATACAATGACTTCATTTTTCCCCTCACTTCTTTTGCACTGTCATAATTGTTATGTTGCACACAATTTAGGACTTTTTTTGTTGTTGATAATTAACATTCTAAAATCATTCAGCCTTCAGAAAAGGTCTCAAATTTCTGCAAGCCACCTCTGATGGGTTCACTGTTCAAATAAAATATACCAGTCGTATAACCACCACAATTCAGCATTCACATTACATGAGAACAGATATTTTCAAAATAAAATCTGTTACTTGCAGCTGACCAAATGTTCTGAAGCTAGAACAATTTATATTTGTATTTAATTTCCAACATGAGACTCAGCCCATCATAACATGAAATGTACTAGGAATAGTGACTGTTGTGTCACATAACATGCATTATGGTTTTTATTTTTTTGTTTTTTCTTCTGGAACGGGCATGGGCAAACTATAATATACATAATTTCACACTTTATGTTTAGTAATATTTTTCATTTTAGAAGAAACTGTTTCCTTTCTTTGTAATAAACAAAGTGGCATCTTGGTCTGTCACATCTTGGGAATCCCTGCCTGTTTGCAGCTTCTCCCAGCTGGAAACCCTCATCATGTGATTAACATCCATGAAACAAAATTGACTGCTAAACACAATTTTATGATATATTTTGTAAACTATTCCCTATCCTTTAGTTATAATAAGCATCAAAAATGTCAGTCTGCCACCCAAGCAGCTTGAAAGCTGAACTTTTTCCGCTTGTCAAGGCTGGGACCTGCAGGGAAAGTCAGGAGAATTCAGTCCATTCTAAACTGTTTATTTTCTGCCCTAGGTTTTTGAGGGACTTAGAAAAGAATGCTCAATGCAAGCTGCTGCTCAAGGCTGACTCAGCATTACCATGTAAGAGCACTGTATGTGCATCTCATCCCTGTGCCTGTAAAAATGACATGCATTTAAAGGCACAACTATAAGCTTTAGCTATATGAACTAAATTCCACAGTACTTATACCAGTAAAATAATAGATTAAAAAAGCAAAATAAAGTTAAATAAGCAATACTCCAAAAACATTCAGATTCTCAGAATGGGATTTCAATATCATGATTATGATGAACATGAGTTAAAAAGATGAGTCTCACGGTCCATCAGCACTCACCATTCAGCCACTTGGAGTTGTACTGGGCAGTTCGGAGAGGAGGAAGGGCCCCCAGACTTCGATAAATAGCAGGATCCCTTCCTGGAAAGTCCATGGCTGTAGCAGCATATAATTCTCCACTGGCAGTGAGAAGAGCAGTGGAATTGTGCTGGGGACTGTAGGGACAACGAGCCATGCCACTGATTTGGTCATGTATCTCTGTCAAGTTGCTTAACTGTAAAACAATTTTAAAAAGGGATTAAAATGACCTGAAAATTATAATTTCAGCCAAACTGCATCAATCTGAGCAAAATCCTGTGACAAACACCTGTTATCTACTTTATTTTTGTGTGTAGCCAACCTCTACATCAATCTGAAATTGTTGCTTTAGAAAATCTTATTGTAGTGTTGCAAGATCTCACTTTCGCCATTTTGATAAGTAAAGCATATATGTCAGTCATTATCCACCATGCCTAAATGTTTTCTATTAGAAGGGGCTCAAAAATTAGTTACCTCTGCAAAGACTATTATTATGAAAATAAAACTAAACCTGATAGCCAGAATCAATATAGTATCCACCACAACAGACAACAACAAAAAAATCCATTATTTGTTTTATTGATGTGTTCTATGAAAAAAAACTCACATGAAAAATGAGAGTAAGAAAAGGAGCTCTCCAACTCAGCAGAATCAACTCCGATTTAGTAGCTCAAATACCCTCAGCCATAAACCACAGCATGATGTTAATATGCTATTTGAAAATAAAGGTGTGCAGTGGGTTTAAATACAATAAATCTGCCATTGAGTTTTTTAGTAATACAGCTGTTCTTTGTATTTAAGTGATTCTCCCCTCCTGAAACAAATAGGCAGCCTAGTCCAAACAGTGACATTTTTATACTTATTATGACTATTACTGATGCTATAATTAGGCTTATTTTGAACATAAACTGACAGATCTCAGTCAAGATTTCTCATTCTCACCAGTCAGAAATCACTAATACAAGTACTCTCATTTCTCCAGAACTACACATACACAGCATGCAGCTACCCAACCACAGTTGATAACTAAACCTATTGATGCCAATCAAACCTGAAAGAGGCAGAAGTCTTATAAACACATAAGGTTTATAAAAATTGGTGTGTAGGAGGAGCTACTATTCCTCCCACAGCTGAGGAAAAGAGTGCAAAAAGAGATTGGCTAGCTCTCCTATTTGACCTGCCACCAGCTAAATCAGCCTTTTACACATCAGGTCACTCATCAATACCCAAACAGAGAGCTCTCAGCCTCAACACGCTCTGCTTTTTAATCTGCTCAGAGCAGGGACTCCAGCTTGTGGGGTAAAACATTTTAACTCTTACTGTGCGATTGGTGCAGATTGGAGTGAATGCGTTGGTTCCACAGGTAAAGAGATGGTTGCCTCCAACAAGAAGCACTCGAATATAGTTCTGGCATTCCTCCTGCCACACAAAAAACAAATAATATATTCAGGGATACTGCAGAGTACAGAGGAGACTAATAACACTTTGCTTTCTGTGTTTATTTATCCACAAAAAAAATTTTAGGTAAACAAGGCTTAAGCATACCTGAGATAGCAATTACAATTTGCACAGATTTCTTATTCACACACATGCATCTATCAACCTTTGTGAAAAGTTCTTAATAGGATACAAATAAACCCCTCTAGTACTGAAGATTTCCTCTCAGGATATATTTCAAAGACTTAGCTAAATTTTGAACTGATAGTTCAGATAGATGATCTGATAAATGCTGACTTAAATAATACAGTACTGTCTCAGGAGATCAAATGTTGACTTCAAAGACAGATTAGGCCAAGACAGGAAATTGTGAGGAAAACAGGGGCAAGAACAGGTTTTCAGTAACAAAACTATAGTAAGACTAGTAAAAATAAAATTCTTGAGATGTTCTGATGTGGATTTGTTACCACTAATTTCATAATTTACCCTGCTTTATTAGAAGTGTCTCATTTCCTGTAAGTTCAAAGTTTCTCAAAAAATTACATTGCCACAATACAAAGATGCTCAGCCTGAGGAATAATTTGACATGTTTTTTACCCCATTAGGATGGATAAAGGTTTTGTGATATTCATCTCTCATTTCAGGAGCTAGAAATCAACACCAATGTCTACTGTTAATTCAAACAAAAAGCTTTGTCCTGCAATACTAAAAATCTCCCAGAACTGTAGGAGAAAAAATTTAAACGCTTCTCTTGAAAAAAATCAATGCCTGTATCCAATAAAATGATCAACAATCTGTTTGGAGAAAATAAAGTTTCCTGGAAACTTACATTTGAATGTCTCTAGCATTCACCACAAGATAGTCTCATAAAAAGTCTGAAAAAAAACTTGTGAAAATACAGTTATGCAATTCTAGCCGATATTAAGTGAAATCATGTAAGTAAATCCATACAAAAGTAATAGCATAGAAGTCCCATTATCTGGCCTACAGTTTTATTAAATGGATTGCTTGTTTATCTTGAAAATAGACTCTCATCCTGGAAGACAACAAATATAATCCTAAATAAATTGAACAGGCACAAAATAGACTGCAAAAGAAGATGGGGAAAATACTTTAAAGGTCTCTGAGAAAACTTTTACAATTTATCTTCTATACCTTTCCTCATAAAAGTCAAGTTAAAAATAAACTCAAATCTCAGGGAAGAAACTACCTCTTGGAAAAAGTACCTTTTCAAACCCACATTTGCATCAGTTTCTTGTGAAAAAGTAGCTTTAAAATGAGCTACTTTTCTCTTTGAGCCCCTAAGGGCAAGGGACAAATATCTTAGAAGTAAGAGTTAATTCCTATTGGGTAAAAAAAAAAATGAAGTTTTTATATTGAACTTTATAAAACTGGCATCTTAATATTCTTTAAATCACAATGAAGCTAATACACAACCATATAACTGAGTTGGGCAATGCAACAAGCTATTAAAAAGTAGTTATTTCACAGCTTGGCAGTGTTGGTAGTTTTGGCAGTTTCCTTATCAGACTGCTTTAACTCCATCACTAAAAAAACACACCAAAAATTAGAAGGTAACTTTTTGGGGGAATTGTTTTTTGGTTTTTTCATTGGAAGGCTGCTCAATGAGGTTCACAGAATATAAAACAGTAATTTATTCATTGGTCTATTTCCATTCTGCCCTTTGCAACAAGGCATGGAATGCACGTGTAGGAAAAATAAGTGGGTTCTGACATTACAACCCATCCAACCTCTCCTCTTCATGTTCCAGATCTCCCTGAAATAGTGTCATTTCCAAATTACTTGCACACTGATCACCCACTCATTTTGTTCAAAAATAATGCTAATTTCTTAAACTCTGACATTCTTGGGAATCACAAGATTCTTTCTTTAATGTTTACAAGTCCTGTGCCAACTAGACAACAATCCATACTGCAACCAGGCAAATAAGGCATCTCATATGGAATTCTTGTTGGGATCACAGCGTAAAATATATCTTTTTATATCGGAATTATACCTTTTTTAATTGGCTACTTTACTAATTTGAAAAAAAAATCCACATTAATGCAAAAGAAAATGTTAAAAAATTGGTTGAGAATAAAACTATCATCACCCAAAAACATACTGAAAAAGGACTTCACTATTTAGTCATTTGAATTGTTCAGAGATATTTTTCTAGCTCTGAAGTCAAGTTTGGCTGTAGTGGTTCACTTCTGACCGATGCAAAAATGAGATGCATGTTGTAAAAGTGGCAAAGGACTTCAAAACAAAGGACATTTTAGGTCAGGGGTGGTGTTAGGTTTGGTAGCCATCTTTTATGTAGTCTTATTCTCCAGTTCATCTCAACCTCTATGTCGTATACTTTCCTATTTGCCTATAAAAATATATCTGAAGTAAAGAAATACATTTAGAAAGTACTTTCTACTTTTGTATCAGCATATCTGAAACAAAACATGACTATTAGAAACAATTCAGCAGCCAAGCAAGCTGCTTGTAGTTACTTAAGACTACCTTGACAATCCAAGGTCAATCCGACTGCAAGATAATTATCCTCTCACAGCAATATTTATTGTATAGGTTAACATTTTATACATACCTGCATTTAATTTTTAAATACTTTTATTGAAAGTTCAGATACTTACACACCCAGCCATTAGAATCTTAAATAAGCAAGAGATGGAACTTAATTTCAATTAGCATTATTATTTTTAACCTCTCATTGGTTTGGCCTTCTCAAGAAGGGCATTTATATTTTATTTTTTCTTTCTAACATTCCCTACCACAAGTGACAGTATGAATAGGCAAATTTATTATCTTAATCTTGCCTGGCATTTTAGATTCCTACATGCTAATGCATGCTGGCCACAAGGACATAAGTTTGCGTGGCTCAGTCTTGGAGCCACTAGCTATTTTAGGCAAAAGCCTAAATTGGTAGATAAATGTCTGAAGTCTGAATAACAAACATCAGCCTTCAAAAGTCAAGTGTGCATTACACTGTCAAATGTGACAGATGTCCCTGTATATTTTCCCCTTCAGCTCTTTTCCCTGCTTGGCTTCTAAAGCATAAACCTCAGAACAACCGATAACAGCCACAGGCAAAAATTCCGTGCAGCTTCTTTCTCAAGAACAAAAAAAGGAGTGTGTTTCACTGACCATTATCTCAAAACTACTTGAGTTGCTTCAGGGTTCAAAGCCACCTTCTGGTTTCAGGGCATTCACTCCATCAGTTCAAGCCATGAGTTCAGGTTTTGCCGCCTGAACTTACTGCCCTCAAGCTGCTCTGTGGTTAGCAGAGCTTCTACAGAAATAAGGATCTCAATGAAAAACCTACCCACAGCCATCCCTGCAATCCTCATCTCTCCTTTGCCACAGTCTAGGCTGGCCTGAACATTTTGACTCCAGTCTTTCCTGTGTCTTCCTACAGTTACATGTGTCTGCCCTGAAATCTGAATTCACCTGAGAAATGTTACAGAAATGCAACCCCCAGCAACTCTGCAATCTGGGCTGCATTTATTTATACAACAGGCAAGCAATCAAGTTTTCCTGATAACAGTAAGTGGAATTGTGTTTGCAGAGATTTCCTATGAAGAGGGACAATGCAGGACTGGAATGAATTCCTCCTGATCTGGAAATTCCCAGTTTTTCCAAGGGAAGGCTCTGTATGCATCTCCTTCTACGGAGAGTATAGTGACCTTGCTTTAGTCTTGGAAATAAGGTAATAAAAGACAAACATAATTTGGCTATCTTTTCTCTGGTCATAAATTTATCTTTCATTTGAACCTTGACCACATCAGTGAAATAGGAAGAGGCATGAAAAGTTCAAAAAGACAATTGAAGTTCCAGCTGGGTAGGTTTTCTCAGACAGTATCTCTGCATTCTCCAGCAACTCCCATATGATGTTTTCAGGCCACAAAGTTTACACATTAAAAAAACCAAACAAACAAACAAAAAAAAACACACCAAAAAAACCCAACAACAACAACAACAATACCAAAACAATAAAAAAAGAGGGGAAAAAAAAAAACCAACCAAACAAACAAACAAAAAAAAAAACTCAAAAACCAAAAACAAACCCCAACCCAACTGATAACAATAACAAGTATTTACTCCCAGGATTTCTTTTGAATGTAGTGAAGCATAAAGACTAAAGCCCTCTTCTAGATTGTGAATGAGGAACATGGCTATGGGTACAAATGAAATCCTTAGACAAATAATAACAATACCAAGAAACAATCACAGAGGTCATTATTTGAATCTCATATATACCATTTTACAGTGAGAGCTTAACTTCCAATCATCATCTCTTTAAAAGGGTATGAAGAGCATAAATGAAACTGTGCATGAATGAAAAACTACACTAAGGGCTATTTGCTATTTTCAAATGCGTATCACCAGTGTTGTACATTCCCCCTAACAAAATTATTTAGTAGCAATAGATGCTTTACACTGTTGAATAGAATGTGCAGTAACAGTGTTGTCAACATATTCCAAAGTACACGGCTATAGCCTCGAATTTTAATTACTTCCATCCATCAAGTTAGATCACAGTCACTGCACTATATGACTTTCAGACAAGTTGAATGCTATGCTCACAGCCTTAAACTTGGAAAATCACTGTGAAACAAAGCCATATATATTTGTTTAGTTACACACAGCATTCCTACCAGAATAGTTTCCACTGTATATTCCCCTTGATCAATGCATTGTGACATTCTCTATTGTCACATGAGCATATTCCATTACTTCCAAGTTTTGTCATATGATAGCTAAGGATAAAGGCTTGACGGATATATTACATATTTAAGCATAAATTTTCTAGGGAAAAATAACAACCTAGAAAATTAAACATTTCCTTAAAATGCGAGGTTCCAAAAGTCCTTTCTTTTTTATACCTCACAGTGTAATGTGGCCCTGCTTCAGAAGTGAGGCTATTCTTCCTCAGAAGTTTATCTCAGAAGTACAATCATACACTGCAATTTTATTTCCTAGCACTTAGCAAAAAAGGAGCTAGAAATTCACTGTTTAATGGGAGAAACGTAAAAGTCAGTGATTAGCTAACTATGCAGCTAACTATGCAGAAGAGATTCCTCTTCTACTAGTTGATAGAGCTATTGGAATGTTTTTGAAGCTTGGGATTTTTTGAGTTTTGCACAACAATAATGTATGCTACTCATTCTACTGAGTAAAAGGGTTTTTTATCACTTTTGATGTGTTCTCCCTTTATGTTATAGTTGAATTAACTTTAATCACTAAACAGTATAAAAATTAAAAACATAGATTGCATGCAATTCTAATTGCTTTTATAATTAATTTGATAACCAGCTTCAGGTTGGCACATCCAAAGCTTCCATCTTAGCATTACATTTTCCTGTACTGAATAATAGAAATTGTAGTTGGCCAGATAAAGAATTGGTTTTAAGTACAAAAATACATCAAGTTCAATGTCTAAGAAGTTAGTGCACTTAATATTATTTTCTTCATAGTACCAGTAGATAGGAAATAAAAAAGTTAATAAAATTGCATCTTAAACATAGGGATATAAATTGAGAATTTTACAAAGTAATTACACATATATTCAGGATTTACAGCACAGAAAATGAAGTGAGAATAGAGTTCACTACATATGACATGCATATGCTTAACCTTGGTGTCAAAACAGTAAATTGTTGGAAGCTAAAGTTCATGGCCATTTCAGACAGGAATCACGTGACTCTATCTCTCAGTCTTCTTTATTTCTTTGCTCATGCATCAGTGGCAGACTCTTCTCCTATGTCTCTCTTCAGAAAGAGAGACAGCAAAAATGCATAAGGTAGGGATTTATACACTGAATTACATCTGCTATTAACATAATATTTTTATTAAAGCAGATCAGCCGTCTCGTGCTTACCTTTGATTTGCCTTTACTGTAACAGGCTCTTTTAGTAGCTTCATCACATTGCCACTCCACTGCCTGCAAGCAAAAAGAATTTGTTAGAAATGCAAGCTAACTCAGAAATGTAAGCCTCTGAGCTCTCACAGCCCATGTTTATGTTATGTACTTCAGAGATACTGGTGATTAGCTATGGATGATCCCATCCATAAATGCCTCTTAAGAGTTTTCTCCCTAGAAATGTAGCTTTGTTGTTGAAGTCTTTCATTATTTTAATCCAAAAGGAAGCTGGCCAACATTATGATTCACTATACCAATGACTACAGCAGAAACAACCACAGTTACATTTATACTATTTAGCCTTTTTTTGTTGTTGTTGTTATTGTGAGTTTTATGAGGGTAAGTAGATAGAGGAACACACAGAAAGGCTGAACCTGTTTCTCCAACAGAGTTGGGCTGCATCACTGCAGTATCTGAAGTCAGCTCTGCTGAGAAACCTTGCTCAATGGGAAAGTGCGCCCTACTGCACTTTTTGAGATATTTATCTCAAGCATCAAATGGAGAATTTAGTCTCCAAAGGTATGACTACAGCCCTAACCAGAAGCACTAAAACATCCATTCAGAGAAAGAAGCCATGGGCAGAGACATACAAGACAACAGTGAAACAATGCACTGCAGACAGAAGCAATTTATCCTCATTTTTTGAGCTGTCTCACTGCTTCAAGAGATTTATGCCAGGACTGTAAAGCCTAGTCTGTATTACTACAGTTTCACTGTATGAGTTAATTCCAGTTATTTCCATATCTAACATTCAGCAGCTATGACTTACAAACGTTGCTGTTCAGTGGAGCAGGTTGCATGCTTGGTGTTAATGTGCCAATACATATACATATTTGAATGCCTGTATAGTCAAAGTGCATTTGAAATCAGGCTGCATTCTTTCACCTCAACGGTGCACATCCATATGTTCCTTAGATAAAAATGCCACAAAGCACATTTTATCAAGACGAACTGAGATTTCTGAAGCAACCACTGCTGCCTAATTACTGAAATCACAGCCTTTTCATTTTTATTTACAAGGAAATAATGAAAGATCATTTATCCAGATTTAATATAGAAAATATTTTTTACCTGTATTTTAATGGAGACTGTATTAATAGCAAGTAGACTGTCTATTTATTTAATAATAGGGCAAAAGCCTGTTTAAAGTAAGGGGGAAAATGCCTTCAGAGTATTTGTGCTTCAACAAGCCCAAGAATGAGTGTTTTTCACTTAAAGAAAAAAAAAACTACTTGTGAAAACTTATGTAATTACTTCTCTTCCTCCATCATAAATCTTCCTATTTACAGCATTTGCTTTTGCAATGCTAAATGAGTATGGTGTACAGGGGAATATATTGAAAACTTCTGGAAGAATCCACTTGTGAATGACCCTAGAATTTATAGCAAACCATATCCAGCAGCATGAAAGAATTCTAATACTGAGTTAGATAAAGAAGCAACAATGACCCAGCTCTTTTGACTCAGTAAAGTAAAAAGCAATTCACATCTGTAATAGAGATTGTAGGATGACCAACTGAATTCCTAATCAATCCATTAGGACACACTGAACCTCCATGTTATAAGGCACAAGTGCTGAATATGTTATCTCTGAAAAACACAAAAAATTTCAAATGCCTGGAGAAACAGAAGAGTTAGTTACCACGAGGTCAGAGTAGAAAGAGAGGGAAATATGGGTACTTAAAAGGAAGGTTTGAAGGAAAGTTCTCGCAAAACTGAACTGAGAAAAACATGTCAGGCACAAACTGAAGGAAAAAGATTGCATTAAATACAAAATGTTTATCATGAATCAATTTTCAGTGACAAAATACCCAGCTTTCAATTGGCTCTAAGTCCACAGTAAAAGTAATTTGAAGGAGAAGTATGTGAAATATTAAAACATTATGTAATATTTCTGGACATCATAGTTAACAGCACATACAAGAACCCAAACAGAAGAGACTGCTACAACTAGATATAAATATATTTGCTTGCAAGTTAACCAAATGGCAAACTCTCTGGGAAAGCCCTAGTCATGAAATCACCTGCTAAAAAGGAACAATACTATGTGGACAAGAAATAAATGCAGACACACTGGTGACAAAGCAAAGTGCCCTCTTTGAAACCAAGTGTACTCATAGTCCTATAGCCCTTGGTTCCACTGCTAGAGGAGATAATAATAGAGGAGGCTGCAAATGAAATACAGAACAAAGGCATCTGAAGAGAGCTGAGTAGTTCAATCTGTTGTACTTTGGTCCCTAAGGCTCCCACATAGTTCAGTAATGCAGTCAAACATTTCTACATAGAGCTTGCTTCCTTTTTACCTTCTAATCTTTAGGAAATTCTGGGGAGTTTCCCACAAAATGGAAATTTAGATATTCAACACAGTGTAATGCTTCTATACAGGAGGAAGACAGGTAGAAAACTCTAAGATAAATGTCATTTCAATGTGGGAAAAAAACTGAGAAAAATGTGTCCTGAATCTTCAGCACACAAATAAAAAACAAAATGTCCTGAAAGAATAATAATAATGTGGGTTTTGCCATTAGAAGATTGCGACTTGAAAATTGTCATTCTGAATGATCAGATGGACACATATGGATTGCATTATTCTAGAAAGCAAGTGTAAAACCATGTTTACAGATATTACTGTTACCCATTGCTTCCCTTAAATTGACATATTCTCCTGCTTAATACTGATTGATGAGATTTCCATGAAATTCAGAGGAGGCGTGCAGATATGACATGCAAGCCATGTTGGATATGTGATTCACTACAAAGATCTATACAGCTAAGCTTTATCCTCTTAGGATACTTTTTTTTCTATTTTTGTTAATGAGAACCTTCAATTTTCACATTCAAATTACAACCTGCAGAATTCAGTGTGCTGGTTTTAATTAATGTTATAATTCTATTTAAACTGGCAACAAAGTTTATTGAACCAAATTACACACACTCAGGTTTGTTCTCTCTGGGGAAAGAGTAAACAGGGATTTGAAAGTCAGTGTCAGAGAAAAAAAGGACAGGTGATACACAGCTACTACTACACATCTCTACAAAGAACACAGCTGCAGAGGTTAAAAAGGAGGGTTAAGGTGGCACACCAGTCTGTTTCTGATAACACGTTGACAATATTTTCAATGACATGGCTTTTATAAATCCTATGATCAATATGGTCTTTCAAGCACCTCTATGAATTTAATGACTTGATTTAGTGTGCCCCTAATTTCTCAATCTCCTTCATAAATACATTCTCTTATGCATAAATAAACCTTAATTATGTAATGTAGTGAGATTTTTAACGCCTTTAAAGTCAAAGTGAGAAACTCTAAAGACTGCACTTGAAAGATACAACTTGAACTTAACCCAGTGTACTCTGATGAGGTTGTCACAGCTCACTTTTGAACACATATTGTTTTCTTAGGTTAAAAAAAATGCATGAACCACAAAGGTCCATACAGATTTGACATAAAATCAGACTGAACAAAATCAAGGCTTTGGTGCACACTCTGAGCTTGAACTCCAGTTTCAAACTGATGGCAGGCAGCTTTCTGAAAAACCTCAGCTGTAAATAACTGTGCCAGTGCTTTAAACATTGATGTTTGTAAAGAACTTCAAAACTTCAGATGAAATCTCTCCTGGCATTTTCAAGGGGCAGTAGGAGGAGAGAAATTCCAGCCAGCGAAGAAAGAAAATTCCAACTCGAGAATACGCAATGAAACTATTATCTTCAAAATGAAGAAAAACGTGCTTTCAACAGCCATATATATGTTAAGTTAAAAATTACATTCTTGAAATTAGTAATATTCTTTGGAACAACAGATATATTTTAGTAACTTCTCTGGCTGAACAGTAAGAGTCTTGCTTAGAAGTTTTATCTTCAGCAAGTTAAACTAAATAATTGCAAAGACATTAACTCCAACAAAAACTGAAAGACAATCTGTAATTTAAACTGATTTATCCAAATACCTTTGAAGAATATTAAAAGAGGAACATGGAAAGTGTAGGAACAGTAAATAAAGTTCATAGAAGTAACTGTCAAGGGATTCTCTTACATGCCCAACATGCAGCAACAAAGGAAGTCCCCAGGCAAGACATCTGGAGGTCCCTTCCGACCTAAATTATCACATAATTTTCCAGAAAAACACAAAATATAACAGGAAAAAAAAATCAGAGCCCTACATACTTAACTTTAACATGGCCCCTTTCTATTCTAACTTGAATTAGTAAACGTAGACAGGAAATTGGAGATTTGAACACAGTCAACAAAGAACTGGCCAATTAGAATTATTTAAGTGAGAGATGTATTAGTTTTACCAACAGAGCACCAAAAAAAGTGTGGCTTTCACCTACAGTGAAATTTGCACATAACTGAGTACAACCAGACCTCCTGGGAGAATTGTATTCCTGTAGTTACACAGATATTCAAAACATATACAGGTAGACAGTATGCCTTCATATATATATTTATATAAAAACTTGGAAATGTAGAAACAGAATGTACTATTACATTTCATAGAGAAAGAAGTTAATTAGTCAAGAACCAAGAAATGAACAGAACAGTATTCCAGACAGATGGTCCAGCACTTCTTAGGCAGATGGCTCTGCTAATTAGATACTGGCAAAAATAACATTAAAGGAGATGGTTTAATTACACAATGCCAAAAACTAACAAGTACATGATATTTCCCTTTTTTTTTTTTTTTTTCCCACTATCTGCTTGCTTTCATCTCTTGTATCATGTATTTAAACAATACTCTGGGGACGTGGGGTATAATGGCAATAACCATAATAATATATGTCAACAAACGTGAGCGATATCGCCTTACTGTTCACATCAAGTCCAGCCATGGAATGAATGGCTTCAAAATGTTTTGACTTGTTTGGCAAGGTTGTCTTACAGCCTGCCTAATTAGCTCTGGATGCTGGATTCCAAAAGCTGAATTTAAAGAGGCTATAAAGAAAGTGTCAGGATCGTAAAGCCAAAGCAAGAATGTAGCCACAGAGCAGTACACCAGCAAGACATTAGCAGCAAATTAGCAG